CATTAGTATCATGGAAGGTTCATGCTTCATAAAGTTATATGTGAAGAGTGGTGTTATCTATAATTTATCCTTCTAAAAATGACAATACAGGTGAGCTAGGTGCCACTAAATTAGTTGAGGGGTGCTAGTTAAATGTCGTTAGTTGCTTTGTTGCTAGTAAAATGAGTGGTTAGATCAATTTGGTTAGCCCTAATCAAAATATACAGATCTAAGTAAATCTAGTTCTTTCATCTTCTATGCATCAATGTCAAGCCATGTAACATGTAAGCAGGATGAGGTGATACTCCAATATTCAATTTCTCATCTTTGTTAACTGAACCATTCCAACTTACATTAATAGAGAATTGCCATGAACAGGTTTTTCAAATTGTCAACTGAACTAATCTATATTAAATTTAATTAAACCAGCTAGTCTAGTTATTCTTATTCTTCCGCAAATGGAACTTAGTAGCAAAAAACTAGAAGGCCAATTTTTCACCTCAACAGTAACGGGAGCCAAACACTATACACTAAGCATTCCACTCGAAGTTATGCAGTCAAACTCACTTAAATACTCAATCTCATTACGCCAAAAGTGGCCCAACTCTTCATAGTTTGTATTTCTATGCCATATATTTTTCTGTAGAAATTCAAAACAAATTATGCCTTGGTTACAAAATGTGCGCTAAAATCCAACATAACAAGAACAAACTAAGTTAACCTTATTTAACATATCAGCCAATCAAAGAAACTGTCCACCTTGACAAATTTACTTCATCAAAGCACGATGCGACACTAGCACAAAAGCAATCTTAATTGTAAGAAAGGTTGAAAGATTTACTTCATCAATTCAAATTCACCATCCAGAGGTACAAAGTTGACTGTCTTTTCTGAGTTAAACCTTATCATATTTACACACTGATGAAAAGTGACATTATCAAGTTCAATGGTCTTGCCACTAGGGAAAGGGGAAAAATTGTTAGTTTACTCTAAACTGTCATGCTAAAGAATCAAAGAAGCTAGTAAATCCTGATAGAAAAGAACAAGACGTTAAGCACAATTCAATAATGTATTGGAATTTTATAAGAATTGGAATCGTGCTAGAATTGGAATACTTATGATCCATGCAAGAATTAGCAAGAAAGATGCCATTTGAACCTTGAGATAGAGAAGATATCCCATGCAATACATGATTGTTCTCCATGAGTATTTGTGGAACTAGACTTGCACCTCAAGTCACAAAAGGAATACTAATATTACTTTAATAAGCTTCTATATCTTGATATCATAAGCTTCAATATACTGATAGCATGACCATAGAGGTTGCATTTTGCATCAAAGTTTATTTCAAGCCACTACAATCATCACCCATGAGGCTTATAACTTTGGCATACTATTCCATTGGTTCATCCTTAACTACTACTAATGGAAATTAATAAGCTAGCAAACCATACAATCCAAGTCAGTTAGTCGCATATATTTTCTCAAAAATGACAATTACAATTTATGCAACAAGTTATAGCTATATATAGTTACCACCACAATGCATCAAGTGGATCAATTCTATTTGACTAAAACTTCATATATAAGGGGTGAAAAGCCACATTAACCAGTTTCTTGCCACAACAATTCTATTTGACTAAAACTTCATATATAAGGGGTGAAAAGCCACATTAACCAGTTTCTTGCCACAACAATCAGGATGTGCAATTTGCATATATAAGGGGTGAAAAGCCACATTAACCAGTTTCTTGCCACAACAATCAGGATGTGCAATTTGCTTTTCAAGAAACCTAACTTAGCAGAATGTAATGTTTCACTTACCATGATTAGCTAATAAATTGTTAGCCATTAATGAAAAGCATGTTACAAATTAGTAGGCTCTTAGCAGGAAACGTCTCTCCACATTTTTGGAACATTTTTGGACGCTAGCAATCGCATTGGCTATCACAAAGTACCTGCAACATTTTTGGAAAAAACTATGAGAAAGTTGAGGTCTCCATGACATGGAATTATCTAACCACTTGCGCAACAAGAGGAAAAAAAATCACTTGTCTAAACTTAAAAATAGTTCTATGTAATATGCATTGCATATTACTTATAAGCAAGTTAAAAATGATAAATATTAGTCCGATCCCTTACTACATAAACGAACTGCAAGAGGTTATCTTAACAATATTGATGCATGATATTATCAATTAGTCATCAGTCAACTTAAACTAATGGTAACTTTTGATAATATACTGAATCAAGAGTTCCTCTTTCTTAAAAACTTTGCACAATGAACTTACACAAAGGCAAGGGTTTGGTTGAACTTGGCAATGAGAGTTTGATAGAGAGGGGTGGTGCCCACAATGGCGACGGCGGTGGTCTTGATCTACTTGTTGAGACCCATACGCGACTATGCGCAAGACCAACCTCCCAATGTGACAAAAACCTGCACAAATCAACTCTTATTACATGCTTAGCTTGCAAATACGACATTCAAGTGACCTACAATTTCAGTCTTAAGGTATAGAAATGATTGATTGCTACAAAAGTCCAAATGGATAACAATAAAGAGTGAACATACCATTTATGCCGATCTCACTCGATGATCCTAAACAAAAAAAAAAAAAGTCAAATAGAAGTAAAGCTCTTACGCCAAATAAGGGAAATAGACTCACATACCTTCTAATGTAGAGAAGGACAAACGGCAGCAGTGATGGAGGAGTGGTGAACAAAGCCGTCCGAAAAACAGCTGTAGGAGGAGGAGAAGGCCAAAGTGGTGATTAGGTTTTTGAGGGAAAAGGGGGAGGGGTGGCGGGATCAGGTTAGGGTTTTCACCGAAGAGGAGGAGGGAACGACAAAGGTTCGAGCGGCGGCAACAACAATGTCCAATTGAGCGGAAGATGACGAATTAGGGTTTTTTTTGGGAGAGGAGGAGGCGGTGAGAGAGCTCCAATGACGACGACTAGAGGAGGAGGCGGCGATAGAGCTCCGACGACGACAGAGGAGGAGGGCGGCGCTGGTTTTGACGAGAGAGAGGGAGGGAGGAAGGGAAGCAGAGAGGGAGAGATATCGAACATTTTTGGGGGAAAATAAAATTTGGGGGTGAGGCGGGCTCCCTCCGATTTTTTGTGGGGAAAACTGCATCTCCTCAACGGGGGAGACCGTTGGTACTGATAAAACTAGCCCTAACGGTTCCTACCACCCGTTGGGGCTGCCCTTATTTGTACTAGTGTCATTATTGAGTGTTTTAGAGGGTTTTGGAGGTTTTTATCGATCTGGGTAGTATAAAGTTGGGATCTTTGGGGAGCTATTTTGCTATTCATTTCATTAAGTAATGAGTAGGTTTTATTTTTATCCCTTTTTTTTGTCTTTAATACTTTTATTTGGCACTTGCCTTTTTTATCGTATTATTTGGGGATACGCATTTCATCTTTTTAATGGGGATCAGGGGTTACAGTTGTACGAATTTTACCGAATAAAAGCAGTTTTGTGGTAGCTGTAGGTAAAAAAGCAAGTGAGCAGTGAAAGATAACGGGTTTGTAATTTTGTTTGCCATTTGTTATGGAGAAGTGTGACGCGAGTTTGCTTTGGTGCCTTTAGTTTTGGGCGTATTGTTTGAGTTTTTCTTGTATTTTCACATGTATTTACGCTGGTATTTGACATCTAGCTTAATTCTTACTACTTCCTTTTGTTGAATATACATAAATTTCATATTTGGTTTCAGTTCCTATTATCTACTTAAAAGTTGCTTTTAGCTCAATGAAGGGGTAATGTTGGATTCGGCTTCATAATTATTGTCCAGTAGGTGGTTAGTTTGGTTATTTTCATTTGTGCAAAACAGAATGAAATTTTATGTTGGTAAATATCGTTATTTTTTGGACTCTCCTTGCTGTAATTCGTGGCTCCGCCACTGGAGAGACTACCAAAGAGCTTTAGAGCTTCAAATGTCACTCTCGAAGATCTCAGCTACTAGATTCAGGAATGGGCCGGGGGCCCAGTAGTAGCCATTCTAAAACCGCGCTGAAGTTTAATGAGACAGCAAGTCATCACCCACCGAACTCCGACCAGGAAAAGCGCGGACACCGGAAAGCATTTAAGCTACTCCAGCGCTGCAGACTCCCGAGTAATTCGATGCCCATCGGTTTTAGTGGACCACTTCTCGAACGACGCGGGAAGCCCATGAATGTAATATATGGATCCGCGTGATGAATATTTGTTTTGGGGACAAATTTTCAAAACCATCGTATTTGAACATTTAATCCTAAAAAACGATTTGTTTTGAACTTATTTGTAAAAACCGGACCTGGTTTCAGTCTTGGCGTTGAAACCATATCGGTTTTTATGAAAAAGCTTCTGAAACTTCACGGGAGTTGAACTCCCGTGAAGTTTCGAAAATTTTTCTTAAAAACCGACCTGGTTTCAACATCATGGCTGAAACCAGGTCGGTTTTTGAAAATAAGTTCAAAACAAGTCTTTTTTAGATAAAATGTGGAAATAGGTTGGTTTTGAAAATTCGTCCTTTGTTTTGGGTGAAAATGGCTTAGAAGTTTGGTAAAAAATTTGATGTCTAGTATAATTTTCTACAATAGTACAATGCACGTATCCAAATGTCCCGTAAATTCTTTTCGGGAAAATACTGTCATAAGCTAGTAATTGCTAATGTAAATTTATGCCGATTTATCACATCGATTTGAATTGGAACAAACTCATACCGTTTAATCATGATGAAAAATGCTATCGGAAGCTAAATGGAGTAGCAAACTAGACTGCAGCTGATGGAAGCACAAAAGCTGCTCCCAACTCAGCAATTTCTCGTTTCAATTTACTACAAATCAAGCAAAAGAGAGATGAATTATATAGTTCAAAAGCACAAGGATGCCAATAAATTTTAGCTTTTGTTATATTAAGATCAAGGATGAAGATTTGTGATTTACAAGGACCAGCACAGCTATATATTTAACATTTATTGGTGCATAACAGAACCCTCTCGGGTGTTATATGAGTCTCTATTCAGTTTTTTACTGCAAGGATAAATACGTAAGTCGAACATTTGATATTGCCTCTCGCTATGCATACAACAATAACAATAAAGTCTTTATCCCAAATTCTGGGGCCGGCTACACGTGTACAAGCGCACAAAATAAGGCGCAAGAAATGGCTAAGTCTCCGGTTTGAATACATATATCAAATGAAATCATTAAAATATGGTATCAATGTAACTAGAGAACGAGCATTCAGACTCATCTTCCCCTTCTTTTCGGCACACCGATGACTAGAAGATCGGAAATATTTGGAACCTTTTTTATTACCAGGGATCAGACTTGTGGCTAGCAATGCCATCCCTTTCAATGTCCGAAAGCTGACAATCTCTGTTTCCAGTTATAAAGATAACTCCATATCTTGGCAATTTTTATTTATTTCCATACTTGAAAACAATGCCTTCCGCAACACTTCTCACTCTTCCATGGCCAAACAATTTATTCACGATGGCCAGAGAAAAATCAATCATATTTCCGAGTCCCATGCTAGTGATAACCTTGCCATCGATCACAACTCCAGCTTCATCAGATGCCAATACTTTATCCTGCTTTTCATAACATCCACTTCAGAAATACAAAGTATTTCTTGGATAAATTTCCAAAACCCTAGTGCAATTTGAGGTGTTTTGCACCAAACACCAAGTTTATTAATTAGAGAAAACCCTTTTGAACTTTAAATTTTGTAACAAAAACCCTGAATTATTGAAATTTGCCACAAATGACTTTAGGGTATAATGTTAGAATTAATATAAAACTATAATCCTCGACCCTCATCACAACTTCGGAGTTTTAGTCTGATAGTTAGATAGACTTAATTTAAGATGGTATCAAAGCAACCCAGCTTCGAATCTTGCTGGCCACGAATTTAATGCGGATTTTAAAAAATTGTTACCGCTGTGTGAGCCCAGATTTTTAGCCCATAAAACGGTTCTCAAACTGTGGGGGCATGTTAGAATTAATATAAAACTATAATCCTCAACCCTTACCACAACTTCAAAGTTTTGGTGTAATAATAAGATGGACTTAATTTAAGAGGATAAAAGTGTTAGATATAGGTGCCCTGCAGGCAATTATTGTATATTGTAACAAGACCTATATGTATATAACATCCTTGTTCAAAATGATAGTATGCTATTTTGGTCAACTCTTGATTTATTTGGTCATATAGTGACTAATTAGTTAAAGATTGGAATAATACTATATACCGTATTTATGAAAGACTGTATTAGTGATAATAATTTGGTATTCTCATTTATGAAATACACATACCATGTATAATGAGTCATGAGATGAGTCACTTAGTGGTATGGTTTGAGCACATGGTTTATTAGCACATGGTTTTGAAATGTAATGATTCATAAGATGATTCATTGCATGACTCACTTGATTAATCATTAATTTTTGATGATTCATTGCATGACTCATAGGATGAGTCATTCATATCATGAACACATTTCACTCTATAAATATGAGCTCTTTTTCTTATGGAAAGGTTAATGAAAAATTGGCTAAGTGTTTTTTTCCATAAGAGAATAAAAGAGAGCTCTCCTCTTACTAAACTTTAGCAATCTTTGAGCAAGAGGAAGTAGTAGGATTTTAAGAACCCCGGGGTGGATATCTTGCCTTGTGTCTTAAGAAGACTCCCATTTTATCAAGCTCACTTGAAGACTTGGAGATCCACTACAAGGAGATTTTCTACTACAAGGAGCAAGAGCTAGGGGTTATTCGATCTTCCATCGAATCACGCTACGAAAGTATGACTTTCTAACTCTTGTATGCTCACTTAATAATAAGGATCATGTTAGATTTAATTAGACGATCCATATGAATATTTCATGCTCTCTACATGCTTAGTATTTTTGTACATACATGTCTTCCGCTGTGTATTATGCATGTAGACATAGCACGATCTCCTTCAAAAAGGCCTACCCTCACTCAGAAAACTCTCTCTCCCAGTAAATTAAAAAGTACACAAGTCCAGATTTTTAGCCCATAAAAGGGCTCTCAACCTGTGGGGGCACGTTAGAATTGATATAAAACTATAATCCTTGATCCTTACCACAACTTCGAAGTTTTGGTGTAATAGTTAGATGAACTTAATTTAAGAGGGTAAAAGGCCTACCCTCACCCAGGAAACTCTTTTTCCCAGTAAACTGAAAAGTATACTAGTCCAAATTGTTCAAAGCATGTCACATGCGAAAAAAATAGACAAGTCAGTCATGGGACTTTACTGAAGCAAGCTAAGGGGGTTTTCTCTGATTGAGAAAGTTCAGGGAAGTATTGTGCAAAACACCCCCAAGTTCTGGGAGGTTAGTGAAACTTACTCTATTATTTTAATGTAGATTAAGAACAAATACATTTGGAATTACCGTGATCAAGCCTTGTTTTCTCAGTATAGCTGCGGAAGAGAAAATTCCACCATACATCCGTCCTGATGCTTTTTGTTCCCCAAGTAATCGTTTCAAAACCTTGGATTTCTGCAACCTCTCAGCTCCCTTTGTTCCTCCCTGTTAAAAATAATTGGTAATATGAATAAAATAGAACTATACAAAAAATATGCACTATCAGTCTTGTGTTCCAGTGATAGAAACTGAATCGTGTAGAATACCTACAATGTCAAGCAAGAATATCTGTTAGTTAATTTATCTCAATTTTACAACAGAAACAAAAGAGGGAATACCTACAATATGAAGCAATAATCTCTGTTAGTTAATTTAGCTCAATTTTACAACAGAAACAAAAGAGGATAAGATGAAAGAGTCAGTTCCTCTCAGCCTAACAATCCCTCGTATAAGCGGTCTTTATGATGAATTATTTAAGATCTTGAACAATCCGATATTGAATCTAATTCATTTGAATTAAATTTCATAAACTTATCGCTGATCTTATACATTGAAACATTACTATAGAAGTCAGTGGTCGATTTATTTCTATGTCTATAACCCATATTGATGAATCCCTGCTGAATATGGTATCATGTCTATCCTACTGCATGCTTTGATTGTGGACCATCTGAACGTGCATCATATCAAATCCAGATTGTAATATATATTTTGGACATTTCAGAGCTATATGCATTTGACACCAAGAAAATGAACAGCAGCTGAAGCCATATATACAGCATTTTTATATTAATTCCCGAGCAACCATAGATTCAGATTGATGTTAACTGATATAGTGACGATGAAAATGTTGGAAAGTTGTATGCTCCATATCATCAACAAAGAAAAATGTAGATATGAGGCTTACAGGAAGAACAACCAAATCGAAAGTTGAATCTGAAGCTTCTTCAATGAGCTTGTCTGCAATAACCTTTGTTTGTTGGGAAGCCACAATCTTTTTAGATTTTTCAACTGAAGCTATGACAACATCAACTTTAGCTCGCCTTAGTATATCAACCAATATTATCACTTCTGTCTCTTCACAGCCATTTGCAACAGGAACGAGGACCTGTTAGTAGATCTATGTCAGTAAATACTGTATAGACAGAAACCTTTAATCTTAAATATAGATAAATGAGATTCCAAGAGTGATTAAAATATTCTATCTCCATGAGATGTTCCTATAAAGCCTATGTACTCCAAAATAGCTAAGTTTGTCGAGTGAAAAGCTTATTCCCAGTGCGCTAACCTTTGGCATGTCAATTGGTGCGCTCACTACATAAGCTGCAGGCTTTGATTAAAAAGTATATATGATGACGGCTAAATTGCACTTAAATGCCTTAAAGTTTCAGTAACATTGCAATTAAGTGACCTCCATTTCAAAACCGAGGGAAAAAAATACCCCAAACTATTTAAGTATTGCAGATGAATGCCCCATGGTTAAGAAAATCAAGATGGCATTAGTTTTTTCACGTATCCAAAAATATCACATTACAAAGGGTTCTAAAAGTGAAATTTTAGAAACTTTAGAGTATTTAAGTGAGGCTATTTACAAACTGAAGGTATTTATATGCAACATTGGATAAACAAGAGGGCACTAACGTGCAATATTTTGAAACTTTGGTGCATTTATATGCAACACTTAAATACTTTGGCACATTTAAGTGCACAGTTTAAACTAGGGGGCTTTAAAGTGCAAGGTGGGTGAAACTATTGGGCATTTAAGTGAAATTTAGCCTATATTACAAGCTGAAGCTGAACTATATAACAATTCATAATGTCATGAAGCTTTGTGCAAAATCAAAGATTTCTTTTTAAACTTTAAGGTGTTTTATGTAGTTGAAATGAGATTTGCTTTTATTGTGGAGAAGAGAAATGTGGGAAGAGGATTACAGGAATAAGGACATAACATATACCTGATCTAAGTACAAATAAAGTCATCTTCCAAATGAGAATGCTCTGTTTATGTTTTCGCTCAAGAAAAATGTCATGTTGTACAGCCTAAAATACTTATAACAAATTAATATTTTTCATATAGTTGTAGAGAATTCTATGTTGTTTGCATGGTTTTAAAAATTCCCAACTGCATGACAACGAGTCTATTTGTTGATGTATCTTGGTGAGCATGTCAAGGGAAAAAAAATCTATCATAGGAAACATGACACATGCAACTTTATTGGATGAAGGGTAGCTTGATCAAGATTATTTGTTCATGTTTCTGTTTTATGTAAAAAAAAGTGACCAGTGTCATCTTGGGTGCTCCGAGGCGATCATCTCGGGCGTTGGGCGCTTTGGGGCACTAAAAGTGCACCCTGCATATAAGCAACACGCGCGCCTCAAGGCGCCTTGGTGTGTCCCGTTGTGCCTCCCGCCTCAGTGCGCTTCGGTGCGCCTTACTATTTTCCTTCTGTTGTTGGTGCATCTTCTTTTGCCTTTTCTTTTGTCATTGTTCATCTTATTTTCCTCCTTATCCCCTCTTTTGCTATCATTATTACTGGTACAGCTAGAACATTGATTGTGAAATCACAAACCACTGTGACATTGATAGTTATTAATAATATTGAATTTGAGGACGTGTTTTTGCTTTACACTAAAGCATTGTCAAATCAAGGCATAGACACGCTATTTAAACATTCAGCTTCTTAGAATGTTTGTAATTTTGAATGTATGATTTCATAGTAAACGTTCTTTTATATTTTTTCCACCATGATGAACTATTGAAAATACAAAAGGGTAGCATTAAATAGATAAGAACTTTCTTTTAACTAGTGACTAGTGTTAAGATTATGCATTAAGACCTCAGTTTCTAATTTGATAGGTAGTGAACTTATTTATTTTGACATCTTTTTTCTATATCAAAATTCACAAACATATTGCTTGTTTATTTGACATATGTATCAAAACAATTTTGTTTCCGCTATGCGCCTTGCTTCACTGAGGAGCACGCGTTGTCTTTGTACATGATACGTGTAAAGGGACTTTGCGCCCCGCCTTGTGCATTGATAACACTGAAAATAGACAACAATAGCTACAAATAAAAAGCAAAAGTTAATCCTATATCGTGACATATTCATAGCACGCGTACTATAATAGAAAAGCCTTCAAGCTATGCATCAAAATATACTTGTTGTGCCCAAGGTTTTAAATGTTGGATGTCGGGTTCATGTCGAACAGCTAAAATTCATGTCGGAAAGCGAAAATCAGGGATATGCCAAGGAACATACTAAATATCTGATTGCTATATCGGATGGATTTCTACTCAATTTTGGTCACCAAGATGGAATGCACTTGTCTTGTTATAGCTTACCCTACTTATGCCAACAAATAAATAAAATACACATTGTCAAACTAGAACTTTTGAAATGCCTTGCATAAAATTGACATAAAGTGTTAGACTTTGAATTGATTTCAAGCTACGATTCAAACTTATTGTTTACATCACGCTTTTATGAATTCTCAATTTCAATTTGTAGAGACGAAGACAAACGAGAGGAGATCGCGGCAAGAAAGAGAGCTATATATTTTTTCTTTGGCCTAATCTGTATTATATGCTATCGGGTTACTATGGGAATAAAAGGCTAAAAAAAGAATTAATTAGGTTTGGCTTTTGAGTACTAAATCCAAACCCCAATACTTAACAACTCAAAAAAAAAAACAGCCGATTTCTAATTTTTTAATGCTGAAAATTGGCTGATATGTCCGTAATATCCCCCAACATGTCCGACATGGACCTTGAAAACGATATCTGACTTGAAATGGTCATATCCGTGTCGCTCTAGTCTCTGATCCGACACGTTGGCCGACATTTAAAACCATGGTTGTGCCATAAAATGACTTTTAAAAGACAACCAATAGAAAGACATCGTACATCATACATGTCCAACATTTATTGCACCCACAAATTCACCGATAGAAAGAATCAAATGAGCACGTACAACAACCTCACTCCGACGATGTTATTTCCACTGTTTTTTCACCAAAACAATTATTGCACCTGAGAACAAGCCAAACAAGGCAAGTCCTACTTATCCCAGCACAAAATCATGACCCCAATTTTTTTTTGTGTCCACTCAAACAATGTTATATTGAACGCTGGGCGCTTCTAGGCGTCGGACTTGGCGCCCAGCGCTTAGTCGCCTAGGCGGGCGTCTAAGCGGTTTCTGGGTGTTTTTTTCTTTCTTCATTTAAGTGGTGATCGATGAGGTTTTGCTGAAGGTCGGAGGAGGTAGCGAAGGTGTTCATATTTGGAGGTTAATGGAGTTTGGAGGACGTGTAGGCTACGACATATAAAATCATAATCAAGGCCTACAGGGTGCAATCTACGTAAGCAGACAATACTCCCCTAAACGCTCGTAAAATCTAGGTGGGCTGCCTAAATACCGCCTAGGCGCTAGGCGCTAGTTAGGCGGCCTAGATACCGTCTAGGCCTAGGCGTACACCTAAACGGACTAGGCGGAGGTTTTTTAAAACAGTGCACTCAAATCACTCAATTAACTCCTAAAAACAACCTGAAACTTAGACTAAATAACATTGTAACCCACAGCAACAGACTTGCTACGGTTAACGTCAATTCTCTTAAAGTAGCCTCATCTTTTAGTGTCCAGACCACAAAAGTAGTCCTTCCCTAAAATCACTTCCTTCCAAAGAACTCGAGCAATAATCTAGGTCTGTTTAAAAAACTACACTAAGCCCACTAGCACCTACAAGTCTAATACAAGTAATCAATAAGCTGCTCAAAATAAACCGAAAAGGTTTAGCTGGCACGAGACTTAATACCAAGATCCAGTAAAATTTACCACCAAAAAGAATGCAGTTATGGCACTGCCCTAGAAAAGCTTTCTGTTTTAAGTTGGGTAAGAAAAAAAGAAAGAAAGCTAAACATTTTAATTATTGGAATAACAAAACATAACATTCTATTTCATTCTCTTTAACCTTCACCCTTCTCAACACATACCCAACGACAGTGATGCTTTGATCAGTAAAAAGCATCACATCATTACTTAGAAGTAAACTTGTGTTTCATCCGAGGCATTAGTGATTGGACCACCCTAATCTCCTTTGTCTGCTCCAATGTAAATTTGTTCATGTGGAGAGCAGAGAACAGAGGCAGGAGTAACTAGATCACTGAAATAGAGCAAACAACTGACTCCCAAATAAGAGGTTGTTCTAGTTATATTATTTCGAATATGAAAATGCAAAGAGGAGTTCCTTATTATGAATTTATTAATTCAAACACTCTAAAAAAAATTATCGTAAAAGCTTTGCACTCACCTTAGGAGAAGTGTTCTGTCTTTATTAATTCCCTACTCAATTAACAGTCAATTACTAATTGTGTCATCAAAATGATGATGGATGGATTATCAGAAGAATTTAGAGTTTCTCATGATTCAAACATCTAGCTTTAGTTATCCATTAACCAGGAGGATGTTTAGCAACTATTTTTCCTACGAATAGATCAATCTCAAGGAGTCTTCTCTATGCATGTAGTTTTCATGAATGATACATACTTGTGCATTCGTTATTATAACTTTCTTTAACTAAAACATTCAAAAATTTGAAGATTTATAGGTATCATCTAAAGTAGTGTCAAGTACATGTCAATTAGGCAAGTATAGAAATAATTTCTCTTGGGTATATATTGCATCATAAAAGGATTTAAAACAATGTGAATATATGTCTGTAGACTTCAGACTAACACCAATAGAGATACAATTTTCAATGTATGGAGATACTTACATGTGGGGTACGATCAAATGACCAATCAACCTGATTAAATTCTTCTATCCTATGATTGGCAGCAACTGTCATCAGCTATAAAGAGGAAGAAAGGAAAATCCATTAGAATGAAAATGTTTAAAGTATAGAAGAGAAACTTAATTTGTTCCCATGCATTACAATATGTGAATAAATGGGGAGGTCAATCTTTAGAAAGAGATAGTAAAACTAGAATAAACTTAACCAGATACAAGCACTTTGGCCATCAACTTTTTAATCCCCGATTCTGCTTTGGTGTTGCATATTAAGGCTATCTTTGAGATGTGTTCCTTGATGTGTATAACATGAGCTTCTATCCACTTAAGTTTACAAGAGCTTAATAAATAAACAAACAAATAAATAAATACATGCATGCATGCATGCATGCATACATATATATATACATACATATATATATATAGAGAGAGAGAGGGAGTTGAGTTGTGTTACTATCACGGGTGCGAACACTATAGACTTAAATTCAAATTTTGGTTTCACAAATTGAAAATCCACACCCTGGGTGTGATCTACCACAAATGAACTCCCTGTAAACAAAATTTCTGAGGATTTTAACTTTTTAACTATTAAACAATAAAATAATACAGATTCTCATTCATATTTCAAAAATTACAGTTACCCCCTTTATACACGGATACAATAACAAGAAGTTTATCGTGTAGTTAATGTAGGACTTAACACAATTACCTAATCACAATTATTCTCTTAGTTGCATTCCTATTATCTCTCAATCACTAAATCTCTAATTTATACTCCTAATATATTATTCTTAATATAATTATAACATGATAGATATCCATAATATATTCTTAAACACTCCTCAAGTAGAGCATGTATATCATACATGTCCGGCTTGTTACAAATAAGATGTACTCACTCCAATTTATGATACAACTTAAAAGACTAAAATCTTCTATGTGACCTTTCGCATTGTAGTTGTCTTTATCTTTTAGCCTTCTACTTGAATGTCTTCCACCACGAACAACTTCAACCAAAATCACCAAATACGATACATCGATCTTTTTCATAGATCGATCAGAGAATTATCAAACAAACGATCCTCACCAGGGACCTACCAAACAAACAATCATCACCAGAGATCTACTAAACAAATAATCTTTTTCACCAATCAACCAAACAAATGATCCTCTTCACAGATTAACCAAACAAAAGATCTTCATCACGGATCAACCAAATAAACGATCCTCTTTAGGGATCAACCAAACGTATTATCCTCTTCACGGATCACCCAAACAAACAATCATCTTCACAAATCAACCAAACAAACAATTCTCTTCGAGATTTAACAAACAAATAATCGTTCTTTAGGGATCTGCCAAACAAATGATCCCTCTTTAGGGATCCACCAAACAATGAAGCCGAGAAAATAACATTTATCAAATCAAACTCCAAACCAAATCCTGATTCAATTAAAATCTTTTTTCTTTGGTAGCTAATGATAGTCAAGATTTCTAGAATACAAACGATGGTGGTGGTGTCGACAAGTTAAGTAGGTGGTGAACGAAGGGAAAGTGAGGTGGCACAGATGGTGACGAGAACATATACATCAAGGATGACTATTGTTACTAATAATGGCAATCCTAAGCATCAGAAATGCCATCGAAAGCAAGACGGATAAGAATTTGTGGCACTATTCATCGTAAACAGTCATTGCGACACTGTTCACGATGAACAATTGTTGACGTACTATTCACAGTGAACAGCCACCGAGCCCTGTTCACAGTGATCAACCACAGGAAAGAAGGGAGATCGTAAGGTAGAGGAAGGAGTTTGATGGTGAGAGTTAGGGGCTAGGGTTTATGAGGATCTAGGGTTTTGTCGAGACTAGGGTTTGCATGGCTTTAATACTAAATAATAAAATATTATAGATTCTCATTTATATTTTAAAAACTACTACTCCCTTTATATAGTGATACGATAACAAGAAGTTTGTCGTGTAGTTAATGTGGGACTAAACACAATTATCTAACCATAATTATTCTCTTAATTACATTACTAATATCTCTCAATTACTAAATCTCTAATTTATACTCCTAATATATCATTCCTAATATAACTATAACATTATAGATCTCCATAATATATTCCTTAACATTAACCATGCATCTTACATTGTTAAAATCAACATTTGAGAATTTTCAGAATATCAACAAATTTTTTATCCCTTGATACATGATGCAAAATATGTCGAAATCCTATGAAACTTTGTTCATATGGAATTCATGTGTAGTAGATCACATTTAATGGTGTGGATCTTTATTTTGAAAACCAGAAATTCGAATTTGAGTCTATAGTATTCTCATCTTGGATTATGCCACTGATAGCTAGCACAACTTCACTGATATATATATATATATATATATAAATATATATATATATATATATATATATTATTATATATATGAGAAATCATGGATGCCCTTGCGTACATAGCACAAGTTTTGTGCTGCCGTAGTGCAGGCCTGCACATAATCCCCTCCACTCATTCAAATGATCGGCCCCGCACCATCATTCACATGAGCTTGCAGCGTGCTGCCCATAGCGGATTATGCAACCATTGAACGAATGGCAGGCAGATTATGCCACCTCACTACCAAGCCATAAATTTTGGTACTAAGCCGTACCAAGCAATACCCATTTCGCTCTCTACCTAATATATATATATAATATATGTATATACTATATAATATATATATATATCATATATATATCAGCTATTATACTACTATATATAATATATATACTATATATACTATATCGAATATATATGAGCAGAGCGTATAAGCTAGAATAAACTTAAGCTTGAATAGCCGAGCCTCTTGCTCACAATTTTTTTATGTTTTGATTTTGCTCTGAGATTCATGCTAGACATTAAAGCTATGTTTAAGATGTGTGCATTGATTTGTATCGCATGCTAGCACAAATCTCAAAGTAAAATTAATGGATAAAAAGGTTAATGGACAACAAGCTCTATGCACTTAAGTTTACAAGAGTCCCTCTCTCTCTCTCTCTCGTATATGTGTGTGTAGATATCCTTGGCACCAAGGACCATCTTTGGTCCTTGGTAGTGAGGTAACTCATACTCATCCATACATTTAGAGGGAGACCACTTTCAAATCTATTGAAGAAGAGAAGGGTACGTGTATGCACCATATTTTCTCCAATATCCTCTGCAACAAGATCACAAAACAGCTGCTCAACAAATGAAAGAGCAAACTCAAAGGTTGTTCCAGGACCTCGGCTTGTGGTGAGCTCTCCTGATACTTGAATGTTTGACTTAACCACTCGAAATGAAGGCAGCTTGTCTATAAAGGCTGGATGACAAGTAATCTGGCATCTCAAATATAGTTGATGAGCAATTCATTGAAAAAGAAATAGTATCAATGCAACTATCCAAAACGGCTTTATCAACATTATCAAAGGACTACGATTCCTGAAAGATTGAAAAGTAACCTGTTTTTTCTTTAGAAGACCCCAAGGCTTTAATGCAACAGCTGGAGCAGCACTAATGGCACCATAAAATCTTTTCTCTTCCGCATGCTTGGTAGTGATATTACGGAGAATCTCAGAGTCCCTCAACCTTGCGGAGCCTGGCATCCCTCCCTTAATATCAACTTAAAACATGTGTTTAAACTTATTTGGCATGTTAGATGAAAAAATAACAATAATTATACATATAAAAATCCCAAATCTGATATCAACTATATAGAATAAGCCAGAGTCCTATGCAGCAGTCAAATTCAACAATCAACACTGGTCATATCCTGGTTAAAAGAAGTTTAAACAAAAAAAAAAAATTGAAATTCAGTCAAATTCCACCCTGACGTTCAATTCAAACTTCGGTGCAGAATCAAACCACGCCTAACCTAAGGTAAGTGTTATCACTGCTGTATCAGCTGTTGTAGGCCAGTTAGTCAGATCTATTTGTCCTTTGGAGCTCCATTTTAAAGAGGAACATGTGGAATATTTCCTTATGGATGTGTCTAAGACTGTCCTTAATCCAAGGCAAAACGCGGTCTGTGAGTAGAATGACATGGCACATGCACCTTAGGGTTAATATACAGTTCATCATAATTCTAAGAAAATCATTAAGAATTATGGTAGATGTTCTAGGGTTCTTCTTTGAAGGGAAAGGCCGAATTAAAAATCTTTTGCTTGCTTCAATTGGTTATGGAATCACCGAAGGAATACCTACTCCAACCTATCTAATGTTGCCCCCTCAAATACGTTTTTTTCTTAAATTCCAGTGTATCTAAATTATGGTATGCTCATTATGAGGACTGACTCATATCACACTGATTCGCACGTAACACCTACTCAACTAGACACGAGTCACAGCTCATTGTTATCATTACTTACACAGAGTTAGGCCTAATAAGTCAAGCTTGCAAGTTGCAACCTCTGTGAACTGCAAATGGGGCTTTAAGTTGTAAGTCCAATTGCAATTTATCCCCAATAAAAGTCCAAGAGACCTAATACTCGAAAACAAATGTGAATAACGTGGGACAATTCACATGGGACAAGGGACCCACAGGGACCCACATGCAGCCGCGTGGAGAGATTGACCACGAAAGGAAAAGAAAAACAAATCTCGTGGAGATTTGTTGTTGTTGTTTTCCGCGTGACCTCTGGCCCATCCAAGTACAAATCAACAGCCTATAAATACCTTTATTCCTCTCCTAGGGTTTTAGACGCAAGGAGGCAGAGGTGCAAGGGGATTTTGTTTTTGCTGGCGGCTGCGGAAGATAGCAAGGGCTGGGGTTTTCTTTTGGCGGCTGCAGCAAGCACAGAGAACAAAAAGGAGCAGTGTTTTGGTGGCTATTCAAGGAGAAAAAGCAAGTCTTTTGTAGATGTTCTTTGTTTTAGCACCCATTTGAGAGAGTATTTGTGTGAGGGGTTTGAGAGATTGTGTGAGGGTTTAGATTGAGAGATTGTAAACCCTATTTGTATTCTCTTTCCCTCTATTAGTAGATCCCCCTCCTTGCCCCGTGAACGTAGGCAGTTTGCCGAACCACGTAAAATTGATTGTTTGAGTTTGTGTCATTGTAATAGTTTTTAGGATCCCTCGACGCGCAGTCCTAGAGCTGACGAGAAGAGGAGCAAATATCCCACTTTGATGGGATATTAGGCTTTCAGATTCTTATTCCCTTTGAGAAACAAGAATTCTTATCGATCTTTCTCTCTTATTATGTACCAGAAACTCTGCCGAAATTTCCGCTGCGCACAACAAGTGATATCAGAGCCCAGATTCCAGATCTAGGGTTTGGTTGGAGGAGTAGATCAATTTGGAGGTCCGTTTAGGACTTCGTTGGTGATAAATGTGGGATCTTTTGGTAAAGACTCTATCTTTCAGTTTTGGATCTATTCTTTGTTCGTTGGTGCGTAAGATGTCGGGGAAAGAATGTGCTTTAGGTGTCGAGGGTGGTGCTTCTGGCGCGAAGACCATTCAGAGTTTGAATATCCACTCTATGAAGATAGATGTGAAGAAATTTAATGGCACAAACAATTTTGGATTATGGATGAATCGAACGGCGTGTGGTGTGATTAGGTCTTGTTTGACTCAAGATCTAAAATATGATGTGATTAATGAGACTTCTGCGAAGAAGATTTAGGAGATTCTCGAAAGCAAGTATTTGACCAAGAGTGTGGAAAATCGCTTGCATTTGAAGAGAAGACTTTATCGTTTCCAGTTAAAGAAGGGAACCTCCATTAGAGATCACATGAACCACTACACAAAGCTTCTTGCGGATTTGACGAATGTGGATGTCATGATTGAAGATGAGGACAAAGCGTTGCTGTTGTTGAGTTCCTTGCCCGACGAGGAATATGAGGCCTTCGTCCTTACTCTGATTAATGAGAAGGCATCACTTTCGTATAGTGAGGTCACTGCTGCACTTGTGAATTATCAGCTTCGAAAGAAGGATAAGAAGGCTTCAGTTGAGCCGGTAGCAGAGGCGTTGGTCGCAAGAGGGAAGAATCCGAACCGAAAGAATTGGAAGTCACAGTCTAGAGTAGGGCATCCTACAATTGGAAAAGATCAGTGTGCTTGGTGATAAGCAGAAGGGAAAATGGAAGCAACCATCATCAGAAGCAAACATTGTATCGGATGGTAATAATTCCGACTCTTCTATTTATTCGCTTTCTATCAGTCCTATAGATAGCTATTCGGAGGAATCTGAATGGATGTTGGATAGTAGTGCGACCTATCATGTGTGTCCTAGAAGGGAATGGTTCTCCAGTTTTGAGAAGCTGGTGGATAATGGTGTGGTGTACATGACTGATAACCGTGCATGCCAGATCCTTGGGATAGGAAGAATTCGCATAAGAATGTTTGACGGGACTGTTAGGGAGTTAAATGATGTGAGATATGTTCCTTCTTTGAGAAAGAACTTGATCTCGATTGGAGCTTTGGTTGGAGAGGGTCTGAATGTTCGTGTTGATGACATGGTTCTCGAGATTACGAGAGACTCTCGTATTTTGATGAAGGGCGTCAGGAGAAATAACCCGTATTACTTGACTGGAGGTATAGTGGCAGGTGGAGAGCTGACGACTTATGTTGATTCGACTAGACTGCGGTATTTGGGGCTTGGCCATTCCAGTATTGATTCCTCGCATAGATTGAAAGAGGGTGCAAAGACCTGCAGTTTGAAGTCCAGTGAACATGTTGATGTGAGCAAGAAGACCGAGGTGAAGTGTGGCACCTCTATTCACCGTGCTAAGGGTCGTTCTGGAGGAGTTCACGTGGATGTTTGGGGGCCTTCCAAGGAAGCATCATTGGGAGGTAATAGGCATTTGGTTTCCTTTGTTGGTGGCTGTTCTAGGTGTGTTTGGGTTGCAACCAAATCCCCTTTGGAGAAAGTCCTAGTAGTATCCAACAAATTGAAGAAGTGTGTAATAGACAGAAAGGTGAAGGTACTCCATTCTGATGGGATTGTCAACTGCTGTGATTGGAGGTAAAACTCCATTGGAAGATAGGTCTGGTAGTGTCACTTTGGTTGAGGCTTCGATGAGGGAGCTAATTGACTCTCAGCAGGTGGAGAGTTTTGGACAGACCTTAGAGGTATCGCAGCGGGTGGAGACTGATGCTACTCCATATTGGGTGGGGATTTTCCCACATACTCCAGGTCATTCTGCATTGGTTGGGATTCCAGCTGAGGTGACACAGCGTGGAAGTCATTTGGATTCGGATGCAGATGATGAGTTGGGTTTTGACTCGAGTGCAGCTGATAGATGCAGTTTGGATATGACCATTGGTTCACCTCAGGTGGAGGTGTTTGAGGTCATTGGAGGTGCTATCAGCCGCATAATTAATGATATTGGAGAAGGGTTGCGAACTCTTCTATTGGATTGAGGTCATTTGCGGCCATTTGGGTGAACTACGTTAGGCTTGATTCCTTGGGCAAGAGGATACGTAGGCAGTCTTTATGAACTACGTTAGGCTTGATTCCTTGGGCAAGAGGATACGTAGGCAGTCTTTATGATGCAGCCGGGTTTGGATTTTGATGGGGGTGAGATCGATTTGGTGAGTGTAGGCAGTCTTTATGATGCAGCCGGGTTTGGATTTTGATGGGGGTGAGATCGATTTGGTGAGTTGATACAGATATTTGGAGAGTGTTTGCATTCTCATTTGGGTCTTAACTTGTTATGGATTAAGTCCGTTGTCGTGAATTGTTTCACTTCGTACTGGATACAACAAGTGAGGTATTTGTTTTGGTTGGTATCGGCTCAGTTTTAGGAAAACTTCACTGAGGTGGAGAATTGTGAATAACGTGGGACAATTCACATGGGACAAGGGACCCACAGGGACCCACATGCAGCCGCGTGGAGAGATTGACCACGAAAGGAAAAGAAAAAACAAATCTCGTGGAGATTTGTTGTTGTTGTTTTCCGCATGACCTCTGGCCCATCCAAGTACAAATCAACAGCCTATAAATACCTTTATTCCTCTCCTAGGGTTTTGGACGCAAGGAGGCAGAGGTGCAAGGGGATTTTGTTTTTGCTGGCAGCTGCGGAAGATAGCAAGGGCTGGGGTTTTCTTTTGGCGGCTGCAGCAAACACAGAGAACAAAAAGGAGCAGTGTTTTGGTGGCTATTCAAGGAGAAAAAGCAAGTCTTTTGTAGATGTTCTTTGTTTTAGCACCCCTTTGAGAGAGTATTTGTGTGAGGGGTTTGAGAGATTGTGTGAGGGTTTAGATTGAGAGATTGTAAACCCTATTTGTATTCTCTTTCACTCTATTAGTAGATCCCCCTCCTTGCCCCGTGGACGTAGGCTTGTTTGAGTTTGTGACCATTGTAATAGTTTTTAGGATCCCTCGACGCGCAGTCCTAGAGCTGACGAGAGGAAGAGCAAATATCCCACTTTGATGGGATATTAGGCTTTCAGATTCTTGTTCCCTTTGAGAAACAAGAATTCTTATCGATCTTTCTTTCTTATTGTGCATCAGAAACTCTGCCAAAATTTCCGCTGCGCACAACAACAAACACATACAACTACAGCTGTAGCTATAACTTGTAAAATCTTAGAATCAAACAACTGCAACTGCATTCAACGCTAGTTGCAGCAACTGACACTTGCATTACAATTATAGTTGCAGTGAACTAAACATCCCCTATGTGTCACGATAACATAATAACACTGATCCCAACTTCACAAGCATTCTCAATCATTACATATTCAGTGGAAGATTACATAGAACAGAGATTGATTACCGGAAGAGCCACGAGATCGAACACCTCATCTGCACAATCCGAAATGTGCGCGTCCGCCTCAATCCTTGTACCCGATGAGCCCTCCACCTCGAGCCCCTCCTCCACCGAGGCCAACCTGACATCGGCCCCAGCTCGCCGGAGGACGTCAGCGAGGATCACAGCCTCCATCTCCTCCGACCCAAATGCAATGGGAACAAGAACCTGCAAAAAAAATTCAAATAAGAAATAGAATTAGAGAGAGATAAAGTAAGGGAAGGAAATGAAGAGTACCTTCTTGAGAGGGGAGCTTGTAGGAGAGAGGGAAGGAGGGGAGGTGAGAGGTGTTGGTTTCTTGAAAGTGCGCATTGAGGAGGGGATGGGTTTTTGCTCTCGCGCTGAGAGAAGTGTGCAGGCGCAGTTTAGCGGGCTTAGCGCCAATACGGCCATTTTTTCGAAGTTTTGGGTAGCTGGAGAAGAAGATCGGGAAGCAGAGAGCTGAGGACTGTGGGAGATGTTTCCGCTGCGTTTAAAAACGGGATAACTTCAGAAACAAACAAAACGCCTTTCAAAGTATCTTTTACTAATGTATTCATTGATGTAGATATAGATATTAAAGTAAAATTAAAAAACTTAAAAACTTATCACGAAATGTCACGTCAGTTTTCACCTTCTCAAAATTAACACACAGACATCTCATCTAAACCATCCATTTTGTTTAATTGCTACAATATCTTAACTTTTAGGGAAAAATGTGTTGGTGCCTCAAAAGCAGAAACTTCATGTGCTGTAGCCCCTCCTAGTTTCTCTCATATGGTTCAGCCCCTTGAAGTGTGACATTTTGTGCTACAGCTCCTTTTTAGCAATTATTATATGTCAGCTAAGCTAAAATCACTAAAATATCCTTATCCCCTCTCCTCAATCCCTCAGACTCAGTACTCATATCCTCTCTCTCTCTCATCTCCTCTCTCTCTCTCTCTCTCTCTCTCTCTCTCTCTCTCTCTAAAACCAAGGGTTTTCTCAAGCTCGCCGCCCTGGTCCTTGACCTCCTCGCCGTCGCCGCCTCCGCCCAGACCCCTAACGGAGTTCGCCGTTGCCGCATTACTAGCCAAAGTCACAAGAGAAGAAGCATTACTGGTTAAAGTCCTATCTCTTTTGACTGAAACCAGAGTCCAATTGATTTGGCTGCAACGTTCTGCAGGAAAAACAAGAGACCAGAGAATGATAAAATGAACAACTGTAAGAGTTACCAACAACAAAATAGGCCTTCAGAGAGTAAGAATTACTCACCCATTTACTGGGAGATGATGCGGAGCTCCTACAGGATTGGACAAGCTCATTGCATCTATAAAACTCTCTGCTTGTTCCATATTAGAAGATTTCCTCCTCAGGGGGTTCAATAAATCTCCATTTTCCATGTTCTCTTAATACAATTTTGCTGCATTGTGCAGGGATTGCTCTCAAATTTTGCTTAAGTCTCATTCAGTTGTATCTGAGAGTAAATTGAAAGCAGTGTACAAGAAATACTCGAGCATTGAATTTGGAAATGTGACATTGAATCAACCAGCACTGAAGAAGATGTTATAGGAGTTGAAGGCTTCTTCAGCTTCGTTTTGAATGGTTAACTGTTTTTTTATGGAGGAAGGGAAACTCAACTATTGATGATAAGGGAGATTATTGCGTTTGTTTGTTTTTGTGCTCATACCCTTATCTAAGGAGTAAAAGAACCTCTGTAATTGAATCAAACAGTTGTATTTTTTGATAACTATTAGAACCTCTGTAATTATTCATATGATCTGTATTTTGGTTATAACTTTCTCATCCGACCTTGGAATGAGGTGATTTGAGATGCGTTGGAAAGCTGTTGAAGATACCTACAACTTTGGTCTTTTGAGTTTTTTCAGATTCGAAATATATCTGTGTGTAAAATGATTTTTAGTTCTGTAAGCTCCCATGTTAGTTCTGTGAGCTATGATGTTAGTTCTGTGAGCTCCCATGTTAGTTCTGTGAGCTCCTATGATGTTATTTTTGCTGTAATTTATCCATCCGATCTCGGAATAAGGTGATTTGAGATGCGTTTGAAAGTTGTTGAAGAGACCTACAACTTTGATCTTTTGAGTTTTTTCAGATTCAGACACATATATATATTAAATTGATCTCAAACCAATTCCTAGCATACTCAAACATCGATAAATGTTATTTATAACCATATCACATAGTTATTATCATTTATCATGATATATTTAAATTTACCGCACATATTTATTATCATTTATCATGATATATTCAAATTTATCTCACATATTTATGATCATTTATCATGATATATTCAGATTACGGATTCAAATTATTCATATGATCTTTATTTTGGTTATAACTTTCTCATCCGATCTTGGAATGAGGTGATTTGAGATGCGTTTAAAATCTGTTGAAGAGACCTACAACTTTGGTCTTTTGAGTTTTTTAGATTTGAACTACATCTGTGTGTAAAATGATTTTTAGTTCTGTGAGCTCCCATGTTAGTTCTGTGAGCTATGATGTTAGTTCTGTGAGCTCCCATGTTAGTTCTGTGAGCTCCTATGATGTTATTTTTGTTATAATTTATCCGTCCGATCTCGGAATGAGGTGATTTGAGAAGCGTTAGAAAGTTGTTGAAGAAACCTACAACTTTGGTCTTTTGAGTTTTACCAGATTCAGGCACATATATATATTAAATTGATCTCAAACCAATTCCTAGCATACTCAAACATCGATAAGCACATATATATATTAAATTGATCTCAAACCAATTCCTAGCATACTCAAACATCGATAAATGTTATTTATAACCATATCACATAGTTATTATCATTTATCATGATATATTTAAATTTACCTCACATATTTATTATCATTTATAATGATATATTCAAATTTACCTCACATATTTATGATCATTTATCATGATATATTCAGATTACGGATTCAAATTATTCATATGATCTTTATTTTGGTTATAACTTTCTCATCTGATCTTGGAATGAGGTGATTTGAGATGTGTTGAAAAGCTGTTGAAGGGACCTACAACTTTGATCTTTTGAGTTTTTTCAGATTCGAACTATATATGTGTATGAAATAATTTTTAGTTCTGTGAGCTCCTATGTTAGTTCTGTGAGCTATGATGTTAGTTCTGTGAGCTCCCATGTTAGTTCTGTGAGCTCCTATGATGTTGTTTTTATTGTAATTTCTCCATTCGATCTCAGAATGAGATGATTTAAGATGCTTTGGAAAGCTGTTGAAGAGACCTACAACTTTGGTTTTTTGAGTTTTTTCAGATTCAGGCACATATATATATTAAATTGATCTCAAACCAATTCCTAGCATACTCAAACATCGATAAATATTATTTATAACCATATCACATAGATATTATCATTTATCATGATATATTTAAATTTACCTCACATATTTAGTATCATTTATCATGATATATTCAAGGGAAAAATGTGTCCAGGCCCCAAAAGTGGGAACTTCGTGTGACTAGCCCCCTTGTACTTTGTCCCATGTGGAATAGCCCCAAATACGCATAGTATTTGTGACGAGGCCCCGAATTGACTTTTTTCAGAAAAAGCCCAGAGGAAGTTACGATCTTGCCCTCTGATGGGACTGAGCTGGGTTAATGCGCCCCATACCTTTACAAGTACTCTCCCTCTCTTTCTCTCTCTTCCACCTAGCACCGTCATCAAGAACTCTTCATCTTCCTAATTTATGTACGGATTTCAACATTTCTAGGGTTTTCGCTAGGAAAATATCGTCTATGGAAGGATCCAGTAACGACTACGAGGTCGATCACCGAGCCGAGTTGGAAGGAAAAGGCGTTTCATCTGCGGGTGGCAGCGCGGAGGAAGCTACGGAAGCTATGCAAACCCTAATCGAAATGCAAAAGGAGGCAATACAATGGCGAGCCCAGAAAAGGAGGACGGCAATGGCTGGTCGTACCAACAAACCCCCCTCAAAAAAACAGTAAGTGTTATGTTATTCAGTATTCAGCAACGGCAATGGCTAGGTTTAATCTTAAGGAATACGGGTTTATACCGCGAAGAGACAATGCAGATTACCCCAATATTGTTAGTCCTAGGCTGAGTCCAATGTTAGTCCTAGTTTGAGTCAAATGTTAGTTCTAGTCTGAGACCAATTTTAGTTCTAGTTTAAGTCCAATGTTAGTTTTAGTTTGAGTCCAATGTTAGTTCTAGTTTGAGTCCAATGTTAGTTATATAACACTAAGTGTTAGCTCTATTTTGTTCCCGTTAGTGCTAGGTATAATATTGTTAGTTCTAGGCTTTGTCCAATGTTAGTTCTAGTTTGAGTCAAATGTTAGTTCTAGTTTGAGACCAATGTTAGTTCTAGTTTAAGTCCAATGTTAGTTCTAGTTTGAGTCCAATGTTAGTTCTAGTGAGTCCAATGTTAGTTCTAGTTTGAGTCTGATGTTAGTTCTATAACACTACGTGTTAGCTCTATTTTGTTCCCGTTAGTGCTAGGTCTAATATGAGTTCATATGTCTTATTGAACTTACAAATTTGAAAACTTTTTGCAGGGAAAAAATTGTTCTAACAGGCTCAGTAGAAACACTAAGGTTAACGGCCAATTTCGGGGCTTATTAGGGATTTATGAAGCGCATTGCCCCGAAGATCCGTCAGTGGCATAGGGATGCATACTGCGGTTCTATATTTCAGCACTACATTTTATTTGGGGCTCCTGCACCTGATCGGCCCACCATTGAGCTGCTGCTGAGCTTTTTCGACAGAGATAATAACACCTTTTGTATACCTGATTCAAAAAGTGGGTGTATGAAAAATATTAGTTTTGATTTGCAATGGATCCATAACCATACTCATTTCCCAATTTATGGGGAGGTCATAAGTAACAATAGGGACTCAAGAAGCAGAATATGGCTGGAATACTTCGCTAAGCTTTTCATTTCTGAAGAGGGTAAGAAGTTAAAAAAGCAGAAACCTCCCAACGTAAACATCTTGAAGGGCTACTTGAACGGCTAGTTGTATCTACAAAAAAGCGGGATATCGAGGATTTTGTTCTGCTACAAATTTTGTACCAATGCTCTATGATATAGAGTCCCATAGCAGGGGAATGTATCCCTAGACCCTTACTCAGGTACCTGGATAGCATTCAGATGGTCAATGATGTTGCATGGGCCAAGTTCTTTTATAATGAAATTATCAGGAGCATTGGAGTTGCTTTGGAGGGAAAGAAGAAGCAAAGGGTCGCATATGTCCCAGGTTGCATGACACTATTGTGTGTAAGTTCCATATTTTACTGATCTTGTTTCATTCTAGTTCGTACCTATGCATTGTTAGTTCTAACTTATTCTATGTTAGTTCTGATGTATACCATGTTAGTTCTAATCTACACCATGTTAGTTCTGTTGCAGATTTTGTTAGTTCTAATTTGTTTCGTGTGAGTTCTAATCTGCACCTTGTTAGTTTTAAGATATACCATGTTAGTTCTATCTGCACCCATGTAAGTTCTATCATAGGTCATGTTAGTTCTATCATAATTCATG